GCCCAGTGGGTCCTAACTGCAGCTCACTGCCTAGAGAGGTAAGTAACTTTAATTTGAAGGCGCAAAAAGTGAATTTGGTCAATATTTAGGAGTACAAAAGTGCAGTGGTTCTTGTTTTGCTTCTGAGAATCCACAACCCTGTACATTTCATTTGTCTGTGGACTTCTAAACTGGAGTTGACAACCATGCACTGCAGTAGCATATGTGACCTTAAAGCTCCAAACAGACATGGAATAAAAACCAACTCTTAATGGCTTCTTCATACAGTTAAATGTGATCGTACGATTATGCAGGTCTGAGAGTCCATCTGCCTACAAGATCGTGCTTGGAATCCACACAGAGCGTGCAACTGAAGCATCAAAACAGGAGCGAGACGTTTCTAAGATTATTAAGGGACCAGCTGGAACTGACATCGCTCTTCTCAAGTTGGACAGGTTAGTCTCCTGTTGCATTGCCACTGCAAATCAAATAACACACTGTAAATCTGGTGAAGTCTGTAATATTTTCTAAGTTTAATACCCAAACACTAAAAAAAATTCCCCAGCACTGACTGACTTTTGAAGCTGTAGTCTAGTCTAATATAGCAACCTAATTTTACTTATAATGACATTAAGACAACAAACTCATTACTGTATCCGATTTTAGGCCTGCATTATTAAACGATAAGGTAATGCCTGCTTGCCTACCAGAAAAGGACTACATTGTGCCTAGCAATACTGAATGTTATGTAACAGGCTGGGGCGAGACACAGGGTAGGTTACTTTAATAAGTACATACAGCTAAATGGATGATTTATCTTTACGGTTTAAATACATTTTTAACATAAAAAATCTATTTATTATAATAAAAGATTTCATAGCTTCAAGCCTTTTTATTTCCTAGGAACTGGTGGAGAAGGTTTCCTGAAAGAAACCGGCTTCCCTGTAATTGAGAACAAAGTCTGCAACAGTGCAGCATTTTTGAACGGCCGTGTGAAGGAGCATGAGATGTGTGCAGGAAACATAGGTGGTGGAACGGACAGTTGTCAGGTAAGAGACCTATTTAGGTTTTCTAGATTCAGTGACTTAATTTGCTCAATTCCAAATCCTAGTGAGCTGCCTACCTAGACAGCGTTTTTAAGCATAATCATGAATACGAACATAAGTAGCCTTAAGCCTGGCTCACACTACAGGGTTTTTAGCCTGATTTAGCCCCGATTTCCCCCTCCCGAGAATCGGAGCAAAAATCTTGTCGAGCCCCTCGATCGGTCCCGATGTTCGGCGCAGATTATCTGGTAATGTGAGGCGTTCACAGATCGAATCTTGCACCTCCCGATCTGCTCGCACACAAATCGGGGCCACCCCGATCATATCAAACATGTTTGATATTTAGGATTGAAATCGGGATGATGACGGCTATATGATTACGTCAGTACTTTCACAATAACCAGTGCGCGACCGCAAAACAGCTGCTGTACGGCTCCGTTGGATAGTGGACCCAGAGGAAACTGCTTCTTGACGTTTTGTAGTAACACGACTGTCTGTATAATGTGTCGAAAACGTATCACAACCGTAAGGAGAAAGAGAAGCGCTGGAGTGAAATCGTCTCAGTTTTGAACGTGTACGGGGGTGGCAGGGGGAGTCACGTGAGGCGCTCCCTCTGGCATGATAATCTTAATAATATCTTGTAGTGTGTGATGCGCCATGATGTTCGAATCTTGTAGTGCATGCATGTTTAAGATTTGAGAGAAGATAATCTGCAAAGATACTCCTTATGTGTGTGCTGCAACCAGATTTCATAATCGGTTAG